CCAGGATCAAGTGTCTTCCTGCCTGATACAGAGGCTCAGTCCAGGGCAAGACAAAACTTAGCTCTGACTCATTGCTGGGGCCAAAAAAAGCCAAGGAGACAAACTCTTGAGGTGCCTGTGTTAGCCTGGCTGGCTGAGACCTCCCTCCAACCCAAGGAGCTTTTGGGAGAGGATGGAGAGGGCTTTGACATCTGAACAAGTTTTCTTTGCTTATTGACTTTAGCTGACCCCCATCTTAGGGGTTTGGGGGTTTTATATTAGATAATTTTGCTGTGTGAGATCCCTGTTGCAACAGTACTTAGATATGTTGCACCTGGCAGAGAAAGGATTCTGAGCTGATGTCATCACTGGGTTTTTTTTTTGTTGTTGTTGGTTTTTGTTTTTTTTTTTTTTTTTGGTTTTTTTTTTTTTTTTTTTTTTTTTTTTTTTTTTTTTTTTTTTTGTTTTTTTTTTTTGGACTGTTTCATATCTGGTTTTCATTTATTACCTAGATCAGAAAGTGTAAATAGCAATAATGATAGTTTCTCTCTTAAAAGTGTGATGCAGCCCCCTTTCATGCACATGTGTATCTTAAAGGCTAAATGATAAGTTGAACTTTAGTAGAAAAACACAAATACCTGAGGGAGGAATTTTGAGGCTCCTGTCATCTTGCAAACATTTAAAGCATGGGTGAGTTTTGCTTCATGTGAAAGAACCACTGGTGCATGAACTCAAATTAACCTCTCTCATAGCAAGGTAGTAGAGGAACAAAATACATACCTTGTATAAATTTATTTTTGACTTGGTCCAATATGTGTTCCACTTAAATGGATGCTGGAATAACAAATATTTGTTTATAATCCCACAGAAGCTGCAGATCTCACCAAGTGCACTCAATATAGGTATATTGATAAACACAAGTACTTGTTATTTCAGCAAATAACATATACTTTAATATCTGGAAATTATATTAAACAGTAATTAGAATAATATATTTTAAAACCTAATTTCTTGTTTATATAAACCAGAAATTTAACACATTGCTATTTTTGGCTTATTGAAGTCCAGAGAAATAGGGGCAAAAAGTACTAGCGGTACCAGAAGGTAGTTTTTTTATTCCTAGAGGGCTTTTTTGGGTTTCCCTTGCAGTTTCTGGGACACATCTGATTTTATACAGTGACAGAAAAAGACATTTAGAAATTCCCATTTGACAGGCCTGACCTGAATGCTTAGAAGTCCTGCTGTGAATCCATTTCTCCTGCCAGGACAACATATTTATTAAACAGCTACAGTGCATGGAGCTGTTTTGGGTGAGGATAAATCTGAAAGAATTTAAACAGCATCCATGGATAATGTATCTCCTTTTTTTTTTTTTTTTGACACAGATTTCAAGTTGAATAATTTAATAGAGATGTTATTCAGCCTTTCTCCATTATTGTGCGTTGCTCAGCAGTTTATGACTGAAAAATTATTTTTTTATATATTAGGAGCTTTAAACTCAGAGATAACTTTGCTCTCGTGTCAATAGTTTGCTTTCAGTTGAATGTTTTCAACTGCACCTGATTAGATTTACTTTTCTGTATCACAAAAACACAGACCATCCACATAAAAATGACTGAGCAGTTTAAAAGAAAAAAGAAAAATTGAGCACTTTCAACATTACATTAACAACTGAGATTTTCTGTAAAGGCTGTCAATTTTTAAAAAAGTGCATTTACAGAACTGTAACAAAACCATGAAGACTATTTACTGCAATGCCTGAAGTACCTCTGTTTCTGCTCTGTATCTATGTCCTTTGAATATTTTAATGCTTTCAAGATCTGCACTGTTCATTGAGAGAATAATTGGATTATATGTTTATAATACAGAATATGTAATCTATATATTCTTTGTATATAGTCTATAGATTCTATATATAATATCTATTCTATATCAAATATATAATATATACTATAAAATATAAAAGAAATAATAGTAATAATAAACCAGACTATTGAAACATGTAATTTTTGATCTATTTTACAATTCCTTGCCCAATAATTTGTGGGGATGAGCACAACATAGGTGAAAATTTTTTTTTGAACCCACACATCTGCAAAACCCTCCTTGTCCTTTTGCCTTTGTCCAAATTTTGTGGTGTCTCTTTTTGTCATTTAAGAGGAAATAGTTTCTTTACATTTGAAGCGAGATATTTGGGTTATATATATAAAATCCTGTTATTTTTCCTTTCTAGGTATGGCTGTTCCTTGATGCAGGCAGGATGGTGACAGTGGGAGACAGGAGAAGGCTGATCCATCATTGGAAGGAATCAAGGAATAAATTAGGGACCCTCATGTGTCAGGACATGGTGGCAGGAGTGACACTGTGATGGACAATGCTGTCACCTGTACCTCCCTCTCTCTGTGGATCTATGCTATTACAGAGATGCACTTTTTTACAGAAACACTTTTCCATTATTTTTCAAGTTGGGAACACTGTGCCACAACAGAACACGGCATCCCTGACCCTTGGCTGGCATCATCACTGTGCTCTCAGCAAAGAAGCTGCAGATGTCAGGGAACTGGGATAACTTTCTCAGCATCTTTTCATTGGTGTTTCTGTTTTGTGCTTATTTATGCTCTGGGAAAAAAAATGTCTTTGAAATGGGAATCTTTTTTTAATCTATCAACTCCCACAATTGTGAAACCTGCTGCTAAAATCTCTCCCAGTTTTACTGTCTAATTCACTCTATTGATGATTATAGGAATTGCTATTATTTTTTCATAGTTTTTACTGGTGAACTGCCCAAACCTGTGTTTCAACAGGCCAGAAAATGTCTTTGGCTGTTGCTGTCCTCTCCTGTTTTCACTGCCCACAGGTGATGTAATGTCTGGGTGGGTTTTGGTGTGTTTGGTTTTTTTTTTTTTTTTTAATACAAAGGAAAAGTGAAGACTAATTGAGGAATTCAGACATTGACCAAGTTCTTTGCTGTGGGTGAGCAGGGAGCCAAGGACTAAATCCCTCTCCTTTGTCTTGGTGCTATTTGAGTTGGGATAAGTGACTGAAGCCTATCAAGACAAGATGGTGCTGTCCTGGGGAGGGGTTTCAGCCAAGGTCAGACGCTCTGAGGATGTCTTGAGTGTGGAGAAGGAGCAGGAGTGGACTGGGCAGGGTTTCCCTGAGGCTGCTCACCTGCCTGTGGGAGAGAAGGATTGGGCTGTGCAGCCTGTATTTGCTGCTTGGCCATGGGAGGTCCTCTCCTGTACTGCTGGGAGAGCTGGACAAAGTGTGGACATGAAGGTCAGGACTCCTGAAGTGTGAGAAAGGAAGCTGGGATTGCAACAGCAGCTGCAGGCAGAGGGAAAACCCCTGTTTTTTAAAGAATAAACCTTTGCACATGAGACGTTTCAAAGGGGTTTTCTTACAGCTGTCATGAAAAATGAACATACCATAAAAATCATCTGCTCCTGGGGCAAAGCTCTGCTCACTACTTGCAGGACAGGAAAATGATGGTTTTAGTTAATCTGAGCTCTCAGGATCAATTGTGGTGTATGGGAGGCAGAGATGCTCAGAGTCCCCTCCCTGCTGCACCTGGGGAGGGGTCTCATGCTGGTGCCCCCACAGCCACCAGCTGGGTGGCCTGAGAGCTTGGGTGAGTGTCACAGCTTGGGAAAGCTGGCTCAGCAGGATCCACTGCCAGCTTTATTTAGCCACTGCATCATTTAGGGGAAGCACCAACACCTGGGCTTGAGACCCAGCTCTACAGAAAATTCAGTATTAAAGTGGAAAGCAGCAGCACCCTGTGGCTGGGAGGGGAGGGAGGGAGGGCCAGGGTGATGCTGCTCTGCCACTGTGATGGTTTCACCCACAAGCTCATCCCAAGATTGTGTTAGCCCCAGCCCTGGGGACTCTGGACCACCTTCCCCTTGCCCTCACTGTAGCTGGCACAGTGCTGGTGCCTGTGTGTGAGCAGATGTGGGGCAGGGGGTGACCCTGAGAGCGAGTGCTCGCTGCCTGTGCTCAGCAGGATGCCAAATTTCCAGCCCCAGCTCTGCCTTGGCACCCTGGGCAGCAGCTGAGCCTTGTTGCCATCCCTGGGGACACCTTCCCTGCTTCTGGCATCACTCAAAGCTCAGCACACGAGGGCATCAGCGGGGCTCAGCATGCAGGGGTGTCACACAGGGTCCAGGGCACAGGTGTCCCTTGGCGCCCAGCACACAGGGGTGTCACCTGGGGCTCAGCACAGCCAGGCATCACTCAGGGCACTTCCCACTGGCCATGCTGTGCTGCTGGGCTCAGGGCCAGCCCCTGGGGGCCTCTGTTTGCTCTCAGAGGCCGTGTTGACCTTCAGGCTGTGCCAAGTGTTTGGCCTTGTGTGCATGGCTTTGTCTGGTTTCCCTCTCCCACTCCTGGCTGTTTGCAGACTCCCATGGGAGAAGACATCCTCCCAGATCTGCTCACCCCTGGAGCTTCTGCTTTAACTCTTTCTTGGTTGGATGCTCTGGTTCCTTGCTTGCCACACAATCATGTGGACCAAAAGACAGCAGCCTGCAGAACAAAGTAACTGAGTGGTATATTCACTTTTGGTATTGAATAAACCTGCACAGAGTCTTTACAAGTTGCCTCTGCCCCATTCCTGTTGGTTGCTCTCAAAGTGTTGGTTACCAAATTTTTATCAATCAGCATTAACAGGAGCAAAAAAAAGCATCTCTGTGCTGTCCTACAGATGAACACAGAGGAGAGCCAAGGAGCTCACAGCTTTCCAGCCCATCTGAATCCCTTTGGTACCAGCCCCTTTCCCCCTGTGCAGAGCCAGCTGTGGCATTTGCCCTGCTCAGTGTCCTTTGGGAAGAGCTCAGCATGCTGCAGAATCCAGCTTGGTCCTTTTGCCAGCTGCTGTGTCCAGGAGAACGTTGAAGTCATGCATTAAAGAAATCTCTTTTGTGGTACAGCCCATGTCTGTCCCCTGCCAGCTCCTTCCTGGGTCATGTCCAGGCAGTGCTCAGCTTTGCGCAGAGAAGTCTGTGGATTCTCCCTGCCTGTCTGAGGCAGGGGGGCAGCAGGATTTACTGGGATTTACTGGGATTTACTGGGATTTACTGGGATTTACTGCCCGTGGATGCGAAGCCACAGCCTCCGCCGCAGACCTGGGAAGAGACAAGAGACAGTGTCCATCAGCCCCAGGACCCCCTCCTGGCTCTCCCTCCCCTCCTGGCTCTCCCTCCCCTCCTGGGCTGTGCCAGGGCCTGGCACCCCTCGGGATGCTGGCAGGGCACTCACGGTACAGACGGTAGGCGGTGAGCACCAGGCTCAGCAGGAGGAGCAGGACAGCAGCGGCCAGTGGGATCCAGACCAGGGGGCTGCAGGGACCTGGGGACAGGAGAGGACTCAGCAGCTGGCACCACCCTGCCCCAGCAGCTTTGGGGATGGAGTGAGAGGTGGGGAAGGGAGAAAAGCAAGGCAGGCCCTCAGAGGAGCGGTGGAGGATGTGACCATCACCCTGGGGTATTCTTTGAAGGATGCACCACAGAACCACAGAATGGGTGAAGTTGGAAGAGACCACAGTGGGTCACCTGGTCCAACCTTCCTGCTCAAGCTGGGTTATCCCAGAGCACAGGGCACAGGATTGTGTCCACGTGGCTTTTGCATATTTTTCATAAGGGAGACTCCCCATCCTCTCTGGGCAACCAGTTCTGGTGCTCAGTCCCTCTCGCAGTACGAAAGACATTGTAGGGAGCTTGGCTCTGAGGTCATGAGAACCTAAACTGAAATACATCGGCACCCACTCCTGCAGGGTGACACTGGTGGCCCCCACCCCAGGACAAACCCCCCCAGGACCCCAAGAGCTCAGCAAACCCCTTTTCCCAGGCAGCCTGAGCTGAGCCCAGCCCTACCTTCCCTGCTGGCAGCTTTGCCTTTGATTATCCGTGGCACTGGCTTTTTGGACACCGGTGTCTGGGTGGATTTTGGAGGCAAAGTGTCCACTGGGGGATAAGGAGAAAAAGAGGGTGGTGAGTGTGGCACTGGGTGCAGAGAGGTCTCCAACAGCAGGCAAGAGGGGAAGGTTTGGGCCTTGAACAAACCCAAACCTGCAAAGGGCTGTGTCACTCAGAGGGGTGAGCTTGACCTGAGCCTCTTGGGGCTCACAGAAGTTACCAAGAGCTTTTAAAAGTGTCAATAAAGCAATGTACCAGGTAAAGAAGGCCAATGCAGGGAAAACCCCCAAACTTACTTGAGTGACATTTGCTGCCAAGCATCATCTCACCAGAATTGCACAAAATCAGGTAGCAGGAGATTTCAGCAGCACTGGAATGTTTGAAGGGATTCCTGGATATTTTCCTTATTCACATTGCTCTAAACTTTGCTCAACATTTGATTTTTTTCTGATAAAAGGAGGGTAAGATTTATTATGGTGTATCTGAATTAAAATGGAACACATTCGTTTCTGAATAAAGTTGGCCAGGAAAATATGCCAGTAATGTCATTAAATAGCTGCATGTCTGACTGCTCAAACCATAGTTATTCAAAATTTTAGGTACAGAAAACTTTTAGGATTGAAAACTATTTTTTTTCCTGATTCTATCCAGGATGTAAATTCCTACAGAAACAACCATTCTTTTACATGAAAAGATGAGACATCAGGGCTCTGGGATTTATCTGGACAACTTCTCCCTTAAATTATAATAGACTTATGGAAAAGAAACTTAAACACAATTTGTTTTATCTTGAGAACTAAAAGGAAGAAAAAGAAAATATCCAGCAAAGCCTTGAGTCTTCCCAGAACACCTGCTGCTCTTTACTTTTTAATTGGCGTCCTTGATCAAGCTGCATTTCAAGCCTGTTTTTCATGCTTTGCACAGAGATATGTGCCCAGCTGTTAAAAAAACAATTCTCCTTTATCTTTAACCAGCTTTTCTCTGAGCCTGAAAGAATCCAAAAGGGATTTCTCAAGGTACAGAGTATATTTACAAAAAAACTCCAGAAAACTGGGACACGGGGTCTGCTTTAGAGTCAGAAGCGCCAGTTCGGTTAAATAAGTTATTTGTATCTTAGTTAAATAAGTTATTTGTCTCCCTAAAAGTCTGCAAAAATAGAGGCTGAATCCCACTTCAAACACATTATTTTTTCTGCATCAACTACTGCTCTGTGGTCAAAAGGAAAATGGTCTGAAAAGAGCTTCTGTATGACCCAGATGTCTGTAAAACCTCTCTCCTCCCATGACACCTGCAGAAAACTATTTACTATCAGGGACAGTGGGCTGTGAGCTTTGAGGAATAAATCCCACTTCAGTATTTTTTTTTTTTTGTGAAAGGTGGTCTTGAAAGCTGCCATCAGATCCACCCCAGAGATGAGAGGGGTGATGTTCTCTGGCCTCGATGCTGCTCTTGTCACTTGGAGTGAGGGTAAGGAAGAATGAAGGCATGGGAGGACCTGTGAGCTGAGCAGGGCACACATCCAGCCTCTCATCCACAACAGGGAATAAGAAAAACGAATAAGAAAAACGAATGAGAGCACAGCAGGGAATGAGAAAACCCAGGGCATAGCAATACCAGGTCTTCACATGGAAATCCCAGAGCACGAGGAGCAATGCTGTGCTCAAGGCCTGCCTGCAGCAGAGCACCTGCTGATGGCAAAAGGACTACCACATGAAGCTGATCTAAATTTTAGCTATTTTCTGTATTTCCTGCATATATATATTACAGATTCCTTCTGTCTCATAGAAAAAACCCAGACCCCCAACTTTGCAACTCAAAACTGGGAAGAATCTACCAAATCTAACCACTCCTTTCCCAGGGGACCTGATCACAAGGTACTGGTGGCCCATTTTGGAAGCCCCAGGGTGCTGCTTACCCACTGTGAGCTGTGTCCCACTGCCCAGGAGGAGCTGGGAGGACTGGGAGACGGAGCAGTAGTAGGTGCCACTGTCTGAGGGATGCAGGTGGCTGATGTGCAGGCTGTAGGAGCCCTGGGACCTCGCCTCATGGACACTAAACTTGTCCTGCTTCACATTTGGGCCGTACGTGGCTTTGCCCAGTGTGTTGGAAAACAACAAGAACTCGAAATGTTGCCTCTCCTGGCTCCAGCGGTACCAGTACACCCCGGTGTGCTCCTTCTTCAGCTCACAGAGGATTTCAGTTTGATTGTTAGTTTGGGTTAGAATATGCCCTGGAGTTTGGGTTAAAAGTAGAGTTGTATAAAAGCCTAAGGAAAAAGAGAAATATACAGTTATTATTTTAATTACTTTTTTTTTTTCTTTCATGCAAAGTACAGATTTTCTTTATGGGCTTAATAAAACCACATAGACACACAGACCAGGGGGGTCACATGTCAGAAACAGGAGCATTTTTATCAGGATGCTCCCAAATTCCCTCAGAGGTCTCTTTGGGTCCCCCAGCTATTGTTTTGGCCAAGCCAAATTATACAGGCAGACTTTTCTCTGTAAACACTCATCTAGGAAGGAGGCTACTGGAAGGAAGAGAGATGGAGGGATGGTTTTGAGGGTGTTCTTGGGGCTGTATGTGCAGGGAAAAGCATCCCTGCCTGCTCCTGTGAATGACCCTCTCCTGCCCCCCTTACCTTTCTCATTTTTCAGATATTTTACCCCCTTTTCAACGAATTTTTTATACCTCTTAACTGATTTGCCAACTTTTTCTTCTAACTGATACAACACTTATAGACATTTCAGGGGCAGAAAAAGAGACAAAAACATGCAGAACATCTCAAAATGAGCCAATTTGATACTGGTTTTCAGACAATAATATTTTTCAAAGGAATTTTGAGACATGGGGAAGGAGAGGGAGTGAGGGGCAGCGGTGGGGTTCAAAGCTTTGCTTTGGCATCGCATCGCCCTGTTTGGGCTTTGCAGCTTTTGTGAAATTATCTAAGTCTTGTTTGGCCCAGGCAGATGTGAGAGGTGTCTGTGAGAGCGAGGATGTGTCCTTGTGGAAAGGATAACAGGTAACTTGTGATCCTTGCTGCTCAGCAAACAGTCCTGCAAAGCTGCAGATACTCTGAGCCTGAGAGAAAAACAGCCCTCTGGAGATAAGTTTACTCCTGCTTCCCCATTTCTTTCCCAGGCGTGTTTTAAAGCTGTGCAAAAAGCTCAATAATACATGTTTCTTGTATTTTTTTACTTTAAAATGTTCCTTTTTCATTTAAATTGTGAAGTTGCTTCCAGCAGTTTTTTCAGCCTCATGCAACCCTGTTACCAACATTGCAATGCCAAAATTTCGGTGTTGCACAGCAGCTGCAGCATTTCCCCACATCTTCTGGCTCTGTGACAACATTAATATCACCTTATTATTAAAATACATAATTTTAAGGCTTTAGAGAGTAATTCTCTTAGATTTTGCCCTGGAAAACACCTGTGTGGTTTTTTAGGGGATGAAATGTGTGTGGCCATGGCACATGGGGGCTTCAGGGTTTGCTTGAGTGCTCTGAGGTGTGGCTCTGCTGGCTTGGGAAACACAACTCTCCATGAAAAGCTTATCCTTGACCTGTTGGAGACCCTGTTATGTAATTCAGAAAAGATAAGAAGAGATTCTGTAAGATCTCAGCTCAGTGTCAGTGGTCAAGCCAGGAGTGAGGTGGGATGGAGAAAGAGAAGAAAACTCATCCTCAGTCATACTTTCAACCCCCAAACCCCTCTGTTCCCTTTCCTGGTGTATATTCAGGGGCACCATGAGGAATCATGGTGCTTGGCCAGGCCTGCAGAAACTTTAAAATTACCCTTTTTCCTTTTGCATGGGCAAAGCAAACTCACATTTATTGAGGTTTTTTTCAGTGGGCTCCCCACCTCACAGATGTATAGGATATCAAAACCTGTAAGGCAGAATGGTTTTATAACACACCAATTCCAGCTGTGGCCCTTGGGAAGTACTCAGTCTTTGAATGATTTAGAAAATTTGGGATGTTTGTCATATTTGTGTTACACAGGCAGTGGAGAGAGGAACTGTTTTAACCTCTCCATTAGCAGCTTCCTGTAGCCCATCTACACTGAGGAGTAAAAATTCTGTGGTGTCTCTAGCACTGTGTATTGAAATATAAATAGAATAGAATAGAATAGAATAGAATAGAATAGAATAGAATAGAATATTTCAGTTGGAAGGGACCCACAAGAACCAACTGCTCCCACTTTCTGACCAGTTCAGAGCTGACCAAAACCTAAACCATGTCATTAATAGCGTGATCCAAAATCATCGGAAATAGGTAATAATATCCTGTAGATCTATACTGTGATGGTATATTTAATCTTCCATCATCCAGCTGCTGGAGTGTGGTGGAGAAGAGGCTCCAGCAGGATTTTAGGTGCCCTCAGCCCTTAAGAGATGTGTCCCTCTTACCTGGGATCTGGAGGCAGATGCAGAGATGGAGCCATGGCCGGGCCATGGTGGTGGGCTTGGTGACGGAGGGGTTTTGTGCCAGCTCCCCCTTTCCACTCGCTGTCACCTCTTGGTGGCAGGGCTGGCTTCACCTCAGGAAGTCCTTGCCCCTCTCTGTGCAGATCTCTCACCAGCAGCTGCCAAAGAGCCTCTGACACAGCAGGACCTGCAGCCTCAGCCTGGCAGCTTCTGCGCCAAACCCAGGAGTGCATCAGGGCAGCAGCCCTATGCCCTTCTCCAGCACTTCACAGGGTACCCTTAAGTCCTCTTTAGAAAAATAAAACCAAGAAAACACACTGATTTTAAATTTCTTCATATTTCACCACCCAGTTATTCGTCCTTCTTTTAATCTACTTCTATCCTATCCAAAAAATTACAAATGTAGGACCATGACCTTAGAGATAAAAGCAGGAAAACATTAATTTTGTCTGGTTTTCTCCCTGATGAAATAAAAAAAAAAAAAGCATTTAAAACAAGGAAAAGATGCAGTTTGATCTGTGGAGTTGTTTTCTTCAGCAAAATTTATAACAGGTGTTTTTCTCTGAGAAGTGCTGAACATCAGACCAACCCAACATAAAGCAGAGATGTGAAGCATCACAGAAAGCTTTGAAATCAAGAGCAAGAAACCTCAAACAAATTTGTGGCTGAAAAACCACAAAAATGAGGAAATTCTGCTGGGGCTTTCTACCTCAGAGCATGTGCTGCTTTGGTAGCTGTGACAGCATGCAGCTCACTGACAGAAATATTTAAATGATAAAATATCAGAATGACTTTGAAATGTCTGTGAGGAAGAGGTTTGAAGCACTTGGGGTTTAGGATTCAAATACAAGTACATGAGGTGAAATTAAGGAGATGAACTGGTGTCAGCAGATTTCAATATTTTAATGTTTGGGAAAAAACAGAAATTATTTTTAATTATTTGCTGCCCTCTTGGCTGTCAAGTGTGATTCAGTTTTCTTTTATGTTCCTCTCATGCAGATACCTGTGGTCCTTACCATGCTCCAGCATTTCCCCAGAAAAGGGAATCTCACATGGGGGCACTGAGAAACCTCCCCCAGGGTTGAGCTGGCAGATGAATAGGAAAAACAATATTGCATCTTGTACAGTGTGAGCTTTTGGTCTGTTTTATACCAGATTTTTCCGTGCTGCTGTAACACATCCTCTCCCCATTTCTGTTTAAATTAATTTCCTGCTCGAAGTGGGTTGCTAGCTGCAAAACCCTTGCCACAAAAAGCTCATCTGCTAAACTTTAGGGTGGGCTGAATTGCTCCTTAACTCTTTCCTGGCAGGAGAAGGCAATTTTAGTGTTTTCAAACCCATTTCAGTGCTGTAAAGCTCTTGTTTCCAGAGCTGAGCCCTTGATGAGGGTTGCAGCAACACTTGCCTCTGCTGTCCTCACCTTCTGCTCATCTATCCCCTTTTATTTCACATAACCCCAAGACTGGGCCCTCCCTAGAATAAGGTGAAACACTTCTTTTTTTTTTTAGGTAGGGGAGCAGAGAGTGCCTCTTATGAGAAATACCACTGCAAGTGAGTTTTCCATTCATCCCTATGGTGAAGCCTGTGAGCAGAGCCCAAAATCCCCAGGTGCTGCAATGGCTGTGTCCCTCTTTTCCCACTGCTGCTGTCACCTGGAGCAACTTCTGGCTTCCTGGCCAGGACAAGAATTTTTCCCAGAGGTGGCTTTTGCCATAATTAAAACCTTGGAGATGGGGGTGTGACACTGGGATGGTCCCCCAGGACATTACAGCAGCTCTAGAGAAATCGAAATTAATACATGAAATGTAAAAGCATAATGTACTGAAACATGGATTACATGTAATTTTTAAAAAATTGCTGTTTATATGCAGTGCAGCTGTTTACCAGTGGCCAATCTGTTCTCAGGACTGGCTGTTGCTCCTACAAGAAAACATTTTGGAGGGGGGATACTTTTGTCTGGCAGCAAAGCTCTGACAAGAATCAAAGCATTGTGTGAACGTGCAGGAGACAGCTGCTGTTTGTAACATCCCCACGTTGTTTGGGGCTGCTGTCCTGGGAAGAAAAGGGGAGGAAAGAAGGGTGTAAGTTGATCTTATCTGTTCACACAACCAGGATTTGTTGGTGACCTTGCTGAGGAACAGCAGCTCCTAATCACCAGTGTTTGGCTCATGGCTGGGCTGTCCTGGGAGGGAATAGTTGAATTTTGGTGTATGTGTACTATGTAGCTGCACAATTTCCAGGGGACTTTTATTCTTTTTTTGCAATTAAATACAACCATCCCTGCCCCCAGCCCAGCTAGGTTCCCTATGAACTCATCCTAGTAGGAAAAAACCCATCTTCTTTTTTCCAGCATGCATCCTGCCCACCTCACCACGTTGAGATTAATTTCTGGTGTTTTCACCAGCTTTTCTGCATTTTTTACTCTTTCTTTTCCCCCTCTTATGAATTTCATACAATAAAGTGTTAGTTTGGGGGCTGAAGTGAAGCATTGGTGTAGAAGAACTGGGTTTAGAGCCAAGAAGCAGGACCTGGCTCTGTTAAACTTATGCTGCAGAGGAGGTTAATTGCAGCTAAGGTGTAAATGCCAGGCTAGGGAAAACAGCTACCACAAATATTAGAGGAAACCATAATTCTCTCTGTGCTTTTGAGGTTAGAAGGATTGATTTTGAGGGTCAGGGAAGGCTGCTCAGCCTCCAAGCCAGTCCAACAAGCCAGTACTGCAGTATGTGGAAATAGGGACTGCTCTGGGGGTAAAGGGGTGCAGGATTGAAACTCCCTGGGGCTACAGCAGCCATGAACTCTTTTTTTCCCATTTTAAATTTTTTAAAAATTGTTTTATTCTAGTGGAGGGTTTAGTTTCTGGAGTATTTCATCAGAGATAAAAGTAGTAATGAGAATGATAGAATTTTCACTGAGTGAGACAATTGGTACCTTTTTCTGAGTGCAATAGCAGGAAAAAAAAGCCCAAAACAAGTAGGTCAAATTTTTTAAACTTCTCCAAGATAAGATGTGGTTTGTATGGTGAGGTTTGGGGGTCCATCTGCTTTTACAGGTGCAGATTTACAGCTGCAATTCAGCTGATGCAATATCACAATGGAGGCTGCTGACATCTCATGGGGTAATCCCAAGGTCCATGTCAGTGTATGATGAGCTGGGCTGTGGCACAGAAAAATCCTGCTTTAAAAGACCAGATGCCAAAATGGATCTAAATGATTATTTATGTGAATTTTCCTGTCATTTTCTCCCTCCTGGCAAATAAATATGTGCTTGGGGGGTGATTTGGCAGGACTGTGTTTGTCACAGGTGTCAAGTGTGAGCTTCACGTGTGATCTCCTCACAAACCCCAGGTGCTATGGGGTGTGCAGTAAATGAGGGGGCCATGGGGGGATTTGGAAGGATGGACGGTCAGAGGACAGGCTCCAGCTCTCCCTCTTCAGGACATTTGGTGCAAGCAGAAGCTTAGTGCGAGCCTTGCCTAGTCCTGGCCCTCCCCAGATAAGGGGCAGTGCAGGTGCTGCCGTGTGATCTCAGCTTCCCTAATCAGTGCTGAAGAGGATAAGGAAAGACAAGGAAAGTGTCCTTGGGGAGGCAGCACACGGAGGAGGAAAAGCCACCAAGGAAGTAAACACAGGTGTCATCAGCCCCAAACAAGGACCTGCCATGGCTATAAAAATCACCAGGCAGAGACTTCGTGGCCACCTTTACCTTAAAGGTGCTGGATCTGCTGGACCTCTGCAGAGACCATCTCCAAACTCCTGGGACTGCCGGAACATTCAGCCGAGGATTGGTGAGATCTTATTACTGGGGTCCTGCTCCATCTCTCCTTTGCTTCACCCGCTCCCGCATCCCTTCCCCGTCCCCTCCCGGGAGCCGGTGGCTCACGGCAGCTGCCGGCTCGGCCGCGGCCTCCCGTTCCCACCTTCCCCTTCCCTTGTGCCCAGGCTCGGTGTCCCCCGGGGATTTTTGGAAGGGTGGGCTGTGGGGTTGCAGCCTCGCTCTGTGGAGGGATTGAAGGGGCTGTCAGTGCTGGTGTGTTATGGTAGTTTTGCCCTGAGACGGAGCCGTCTCAGATACTTGTGCCCTTGGCTATGATGAGCGACATCGTTAGCAGCTGGAAGCTGGAGCAGTTTGTGCTCCAGAAGTGTCTCCCCCCAATTTGGTCAGCGGGGTCTTTCCAGGGCCCAGATGCGTACCAGCAGCTGTGCCAGCAGTGGGAGAGCTGGTCGGAGGAGAACAAAAAGCCCAAACCCACTAACAAGTGTAAGAAGCGAGCGGCTTTGCAGGGTTTGCTGATGGTAGGCAGGGAGTTGTCCAAATTGCTGAAGGAGACCCTTGAGAATGTGCAGACCTTGGAGCAGGCCAAGGAGGAGCTTAAAATCCAGGTGGACAACCTGCGGGCGGAGGTGCAGGGCTTGTGTGGGGACTCTCTGCGGAGCGCGGTGGAGATCACCCGGCTGGAAAGCAAGCTGGGCTATGAGAAGCTGAAAACGGAGGAGCTGAAAAAGGAGGTTGGCAAGTGGATTGGGGAGACCCACGATGCGCAGAGCGCGGTGCGGGCGGTCCTGCAGGACGTCCAGCGGGACCGAGGCACTGGCCCCGATCACAAGGTGTGCCATGCCAAGATCCAGGAGCTGGAGGCAGAGCTGGGGGTGTCAAGGGGCATTGTGGCTGCCATTAAAGGCAAGAGAACCCCGATGGGGAATGGTGAGGGGGAGGATTCCCTGGACCTGCACCCACCCCACTACGATTATGAGGATGATGTGTGGGGTGCTAACAGCCCCACCAGGCCGTCCCCCTATGCTCCTCTGCGGGAGGAGGTGTGCCAGCTGCAAGTAGGGGAGGTAGAGGCTTCCAAAGATAAAAAGGTTCCCCACGAGGAGCCAGTCAGCCATGCCCCACTCCAGCCCATAGACACCAACAGGGCTGTGCTCTGGTTTACCCCTGAGCAGATTAAGACTGTGGGGAAGATGCTGGGGCCGCTGACAAAGGAGACAGCAATTAACTGGCTGTCCAGGGTGCAGCGTCTGCCCAAGTGCCAGAGTGGCAACTTTGTGAGTGACCTGATAGACATTGTGA